GTTGACCTTTTCAAAGAACCAACTCCTAGTTTTGTTGATAGTTTCAATTGTTTTTCTGTTTTCTATTTCATTTATTTCTGCTCTTGTTTTTATAGAGTTCCTTGTTTTTTTAATGCAGCATAGTATTCCATTGTGCGAATATACCACAGCTTCTCTATCCATTAGTTTGTTGATGGGCACTTAGGTTATTTCCAACTCCTTGCCATTGTGAACAAAGCTGCAATAAACATGGGTGTGCATGAATGAAAGCTCTTTTATTGCCAGATATATAAAAGGACGTTTAATGTGAAGTTGGAATAGAAGGTAAGGAGGGAATATGATTGCTACTCTTAAGTTATTAAAGGATTGTCACTTGGAACAACCAAGCTCACCTTCTGTGGCTAAGGGCAGAGTTGGGGCCTCTGAGTAGAAGGGGTTGGAGGTAGGTCGCAGCCAAAATATGAAGAGGCTTCCCGATAGAAGAGCTTTATTGGGTTGAATAAGCTGCCTTGCTTACGAGTTCTGAGGTGGCATCACCAAGATATAAGATGATAGTGCCTATTAAACAGTATTTAAGGCTTTAAAAAAACGTGTTTCCGAATAAAGGTCATGCATGTGTCCATGTTCAGCAGTAAAAAAAAAAAAAAAAACAAAACGTGTTTCTAATTATGCAAGTAACGTTTTAATGTATTCTTGTTAGAAGAAATTTGATTTGTTAGAAGTGTCTCAGGCCATCAGCTAATCAAATGTATGAATTGAGATGTTGGTCTGGGAGAAAAGAAAAGGTTAAATGTATGTATACACACACAAATTGTGTGTACACAAATGTATATGTGTGTGGTTTGTTTTTTTTGTTTGTTTAAAGTCCTGTGAGTTAGAACAGTGTCATTCTATGGATATCTGCTGCCAAGTGTTTCTCACAAAAATGTTCTGATCAGTGAACTTTTTGATGGAATAATGTGTATTTCTGGTAAGCCGTGCTCCAGTGAGAGGAGTTAATATTTAACCTCTTGTTCTCTGTCTCACCAGGGTCATTGGTTTCCTGGAAGCTATTGTTTGCATAAAATTTGGGCAGGATCTCTTCTCCAAGACCCAGATACTCTATGTTGTGCTGTGGCTCCTTTGTGTGGTGAGTCATTACAATTTCTACCTAAAAATGTTAGCTCTAAATGCCTTTGATATTGTTCAGAAAATAAAAATTTAAAAAAAAGAGAAGTCTATAACAAAAACATTAATGCTATCGTGCACCAAGGTTCCTTAGAAATTCATGGAAAAGTCATTCTACTTGTTATACCTAGAAATTGGCCACAGGCTGCTATAAGCTAATGTTTTAAGAGTAAAACACGTTAAGACCACCTGGCCCCTGTTGTGAGTAACCTTGACAGGTGCATCACACACGTTATTTAACATAACAGGAAATCACCTATTCAGAGTAGGCTAAGAATTAAAGGGCTACCGTGAAGGACAGTTACAATGCCCTTTCCTTTCTCACCTCATTATTGGACATTTTAACATCTGTATCCATGTACAAAATGACAGAAACCGGCATTTTTCTCCAAAGGCATGACTAGTGGATTTGAACCGCTGACCATTCATTTAGCAGTCAAGTACTTACCACTGCACAACCCAGACTCCTCGTAAAGAGCCTAGGAAACCCATCGGGGATTTGGGCTCTGTCACATGGAGTGACTGTGAATCACAAACTACTGGCCAGCACACACAAACTCTATAGATCAACCTTTAGTATTCAGAATCTTGGAAAAAAGTGAAGAATAAGAAGGCCTTTTTGTTTAAGATTACCACTGTCACACTGACAATTAACATGAATTCCTTACAGCTGTTAAGATGACGAATCAGTGTACATTTAGGAATTGTTCAAGTGTGTTGTGATCTGTATCCGTGGGTTGTGACTGGTTGGAGTGTCTTTTGTCTAAGGTTTTCCCGCCACCTCTCTTTTCCCCCTGCAGTCTATTCATTGAAGAAGTCAGACCTTTGACCCTGTTGGTTTTCCCATAGTCTTGATTTGACTCATTGCATCCTGCTCTGCAGTGAAATCTATTTCTTTACCCTTTGTATTTCCTATAAATCGCTTGCGGGATCTAGAGGCTTAGTTAATCAGATTCAGGTCGGGTTTTGTTTTCTACAAGACTAAACTTGATTTTTTTTTTTTTCAAATGTCTTTAATGCCTTTCAGAGTGCTGATTATTAGGTTTCTTGTTAGAAATCCTAACAGTGATCAAGTAGATCCTGAATCGGTTCTGCCCTGTTTCATTTTGATCAGTAAAAGGGAATAATGACCCCTTTTGTATGCTCCATGTCATAGGGGTTAACAAATTCGGCTACTAACCGAGTAAGGTGGGTGGTTTTAAACCAGTGGCTGTTCTGTGGGAGAAAGACGAGGTGGTCCTGCTTCTGTAAAGATTGCAGCTTCAGAAACTCTGTGGGCAAGTCTGCTTCCTGCAGGAGGTGCTACCAGTTGAAGTATCTACTCTGTAGCAGTGAGGTTTGGGTTTTATATGGAAATCCCACAATGAATGTTCAAATTTATCTTCCCCCCATCCTATAGGCTAGGTGAGTGTATTGGGTGTGTCTAAAGATTGCATTTTTACTGGGTCTTCTCATCTTTCTCTCTGTCACTTGAACTTGAAGGCTGTGAATAGTAAAGTGGATGGGTACCCCATTTTCTCACCACGCTGCCTTTGGACTCCATCCTCTGCTCTGGTGCATAGTTGATCTTCTAAAATTCAGGTCCGACGCTGCTAAGCCAGCCTTTTCTCTTGCTAGAGGATTGAGGAACCAATTCGGTAACATTTGGTAAACATTATGTTTACCACACCCACGTTCACAAGGAGGTTTCTAAAGCTGCAATTCTCCGGGATGGGACACACAGCCTCTTCTTTCCCCCATTAAGTAGCTGGTGGGTTTGACCCACTAGCCTTTTCTGTTAGCACACTATGGCATCTAAATTCCAGAGAAACAAGTTACCAAGACCTTTCCATGGCCTTGACCTTTTGTAAGGAGTGACATGGAGGTCAGAGTTGGGTGAGAGGAGACTCTTGTTCAGTAAGGAGTGAGTGAAGAGTCACAAAGCCCCCAATTCCTCCTCTCATGTGGTGAGTGAAGGTCCGTAGCATCCACACTTGGTGCGGCAGCCGAGGTCCCTTCTGGCAGGTAGGAGACCTCTCCGGCAGCAGCTGTCTGATCTCCTGAGGTGCTCTGCCCACTGTCCTCCTGGGGAGCCATGGCTTTGCCCCTTATCACTGTGCCCCCACCTTCTTTAAAAAAAACCTGTGCAGTTGCCTTCTTAAATCCTGGCCTCGACACTTCAGGTGGGTGTTTGCTTACATTTCCACAGGTGTGAGTGCATATCTGTAAATGAGTAGCTTTTGTCTCCCGGGACAAGTGTAAAATGGGCCTTGTACTCTGAGGTGAAGTGGTAAATTTGACAACCCCAGCAAACCTTTGTGTGGCGACTGTTGTGATAAGCGCCTGTCGCTCACCATCTGCCAGTGTTTATCTGGCTCTCTGCAAAGCCCACACTGTCCCCCTGTCTGCTACTGGGAGACGGCCCCAGCAGTCTCTGCCCATCCTCTCAGGTGCTGGGAGGCCAAGGAACGCTCCACATGGGCCTGCCCTCTGGTGGACAGAATTCAGAGCGACAGCCCAGCCAGTGGGCCTATCTCCACCCCACAGCCTCTGACTGGCTTCAGGAAGGTGGAACCTGCCCTCTCCTCCCCCGGGTAACACTGAAACCTTTAGTCTTTCCTGCCGTTTGTATATCGTAAGGAATGCTGGTGGCATAGTCAGTAACACATTGAAGCTGTTAACTGAAAGATCAGTGGTCGAATCCCCCAGCAACTCTGTAAGAATAAGATCGTCTTTTCCTAGAAATATTTTCAGCCTGAAACCTGATGGAGAGGCCACATAATTTAAGAAAGTATGAGAGAGTGCAGCCCGAGTGCTCTTTGGAGGCAAGAATGATAAGGCTTCACCTCACACACTTTGGGCATGTTGCTAGGAGAGGCTGTTCCTTGGAGAAGGACATGATGCTGGGAAGGGTTGAGGGTCGGCAAAGGAGAGGAAGACCCTCAGCCAAGTGGATTCACATAGTCACTGCTGCAATAATAGGTTTTTGTGTGTCAGGAAGTGTGAGGATGGCACAGGATAGAACAGGGTTCAGATCTTTTGTTGATAGGGTCCCTGTGAGTTGTACTTGACTCGATGGCACCTAACAACAACAACACATTTAATATTGATATGTTAGAAATTTGAGAAAGCACAGTTTTTTTAAAGTTTTATGTATTTATTCACAGCCTAACTTTTTCATGAGGTGTGAGGATTTTCGTTTGGGGTTCTTTGTTTATTTTTTGTTTTTTTTTTAAAATATGGAACACTTCATGAATTTGCAAAGTGATCTGTGCACGCGGGTCATGCTAATTTTCTCTGTATTGTGCTGCCAAAGCAAGCGCGTGAGTTTTAAGATCCCTGAAATCCCAGAATGGACCTAACCCACCGTGAGCAGGTAGTTCCTGTGTAACATGTCCCCATTCCCACCTCCTCCACCTGGTAGAAGGCGGCCTGCTAGAGCCCTCAGAAGTCCTTCCTTTTTGGAACATAACACAAAGAAGTGCACCTGGAGGTCACTTAGTAAATCTTGTTAGCTTGAAGGAAACTGGACCCAAACCAGACTCTCTGGACTGTCGAGAAGCAGTGAAAAGAATCCACAGCCCCTGTCTGCCCTGCTGGTCTTTGCTCCACCCGCCAGACTGGACTGCAGCCTGGGGCCTAGCCCTGCTGGCCCTGGCTGTTCCCATGAGGCTTTTCTTTCTCAGGATGGAGTGGTGAATGCTGGGGGTATCAAGATGTAAAATCACCATTGGTTTCTGCCTTTGTTAGATGCCCACAAATCAGCAGCGCCATGTGAGAGCATAGAACTGCTCCCAGAGGGTTGTCTAGGCTGTAATCTTTACAGGCAGAGCTCTGGTGCCATAGTGTTCAGTTCCCAATGGAAAGGTCAGCGGTACAGGCCCACCAGCCACTCCACAAGGGACAGATGTGGCAATCTGCATCCATAAAGATCTGCAGTCTTCAGAACCCTATAGGGCAGTTTTATTCTTTTAGGGTTGCTGTGAGTCAGAATTGACTTGATGGCAGCGGTTTGGGTTTGTTTTGGGGACCTGGGCGAGACCAAGGTTGCCAGGTCTTCATATCCGGTGGAGCCACTGGGTAGTGTCAGCCACCAGCCTTTCTCATAGCAGCAGAGTGTTTAACTGTGCATCACCAGAACTCCTTCCATCTGCACTTGATCTCTGTCCACAAGTTGGAGGTATCTCATTGGGAGCTTCCTTTGGCTTTTCAAGGCTGTAAATCTTCATGGGAAGAGACTCCCCGTCTTTGACTTGTGAAACAGCTGTTGGATTTGAACTGCCTGCCTCTCAGTTAGTTAACAGCCCAGTATGTTATGCACTTGCCACCAGGGCACCTCCTTATGTCTATGTTGTTGTCGTGCAGTCATCCCATAGCTGAGCCTGTGGTGGGTTTTCAGGGGCTATAAATCCATAGAAGAGTGTCCATCTTTCTCCTCAGAGCAAATAGTGGGTTCAAACCACCTACCTTTGGGTTGGCAGCTCAACTTCTTACTTGTTCATCCACCAGAGCGCCCTGTATGTTGTTGGTGTTGTTGTTGTTGTTGTTGTTAGATGCCGTTGAGTATGATTCCTAGAAACCCTATGAAAAACAGACCTGGACTCTGCCCTGTCACGGGCCATCTTTATCATCTCTGACACACTGGAGCCCATTGCTGAAGTCAGTCTGTCTTGCTGGTCACTGTGTCAGTCTCTCTCTTCTCTTTTACTGATTCTTCCTCTTTCCAAGCATCATGTTCCTTTCCAAGGACTAGCCTCACCTCCCTACATGTCCACAGTTTAAGAGACAAAGCTCCGTCATCTTTGCCTCCAGGGAGCTCCCTGGCTGCACTTTCTCCAAGGCATATCTGTTCGTTCTTTTGGCAGTCCGTGGACTGTTCAGACCTCTTCTCCAGAACAGCTCAAAGGCATCAGTTCTTCTGTCACCCTTATTTTCTGATACATAGCAAAGGACTGGAAAAAACCATGGCCTGAATCAGGCACACCTTAGTCTTCAAATGGTAGCTATCCTTAAAAGCTTGAGACTAAGAATATCAAGACACCTGTGTTTCTGGAAGGTGTGAGGGATTTGTTGTGAAAAACAGAAACATAATATAGAATCTATGTGTTGTTTTTACAGAAAAGAACTTGGAAAGCTGTTAGGAAAACACAGCTCCCCTTACCCTACTTTACAAAATGCACATCACACTTGACACTGAGTCGTAGGGTAGCTGTGGTCTCACCGTAAATACCTCTTCTTGTTAAACAACGTTGGGGATGCTTCCCTGTCATCTCGGAGGATCTTGTAACCAGTGTCCCAGGTTGAATGGGAAAATTTCCTGAGCCATCCTAGATGAATCCCCACCGCAACCTTGACCATCTCAGAAGAAGATTTTTGGGGTTTTTTTCTCTCCCAACACCACCTATAACGTGATTCTTCTGCTTCTCTCTTCCAGGCTTTTATCACTTTCTTGTGTTTGTACGGCATGGTGTGGTATGCGGAGCACTATGGTCACCGAGAAAAGGTACAGACAGGAGACCCGATGGTCTTGATTTCAAATTACTACCTCCTGCTGGGAACTTTAGCCTCGAGCACGTCCACATAAGACTTCTAGGTGACCGGGTCTAGGGGAGTTCCTTCCACTTTTCTGTTGCAGGAACATAATATGACAGTTGTAGAATTCTGTCATTTGTTGTCCTTGCATGTAACTTATCTACTTAGTAAGTCTGCAATTTTATCCTCATTTTGTGAAGAGTGTAAAACATAGAGTTGAGGGGTGGGGTTTTGTTTGTTGTTTTTTTAAAATTGTGGTAGCAGTACTGGCCCTGTTTACAGAAGGCCTGGATTTTATGAATGTTCTTCTGTTTGGTGTGAGGCTCTTCCTCACCCCCAGCTCTGTTGGGGTCCCCCTCAGGCGAGCACAGGTAATGCCTGCCCTGCCCTGCCCTGCCCATGAAGTGCTGAGGGTTGAAGTAGGAAGTAGATGTGAGTGGGCTTAGCTCTGTAGGAATGTCATCAACTGTGTCTCTGTTGAGGTTATATAACATCTGTAGGTTGTTATGCATACTTAAAGTCTGAGGATCTGAAGGCTCTTTGTAGAAGATTTGTTCTGAAGAGGTTTGATTATAGCTGGGAAATGGAAGCAATAGGAGGGCTCTGTCCTCAGCCTGGGTGAGGCAGGGATTCGGCCTCAGGGGCAGGTGTCCGCAGTTCCCTTCCTGTGTCCAGGGTGGCCTTGAGATTCTCAACTTCAGTTTCTCTCTTTCTCTCCATCCCCTCACCTCACAAGACCTATTCAGAGTGTGAAGATGGTACTTACAGCCCGGATATCTCCTGGACCCACGGGAAAAGCGCAAAAGGTATCTTTTTCTTATTTGTGATTTAAAACTTTATTGGTCCCTCAACTTCCATATAAGCTTCACAAGAGGACTTGGAATGTGTTTATGCTCCGACCACAAAGCATGTGTTTCCTGAACGCATTCAGGTCTCCTTATTGTCTCCTGTTCCTTAAGAGACACGCGTGGTGTCTCCAGTCTGCCCGAGAGAGTTGCTCCAGAAGAAGAGACGGCCACTTTCACCCTCAGCGGTCTGACCTCCTGAGGCAGGAGTGCGATCGGCCAAGCTTGGTGCATGGCGCTTGAGCATGCACTTCCTCTTGGCTTTCATCCTGAAAAAGGGGTTAGAAAGAGCCGTGCTCTGGGAAGAGAAGACTCTCAGCAAAGGTAGATCAGCTGAATTGCCTTTGTTGAGGAGGACAGCCAGTCTGAGTAGGATTTCGGCAGCACACAGCTCTAGCATCCTGCCCCTCTCCCAGGGGCCTTTGGAAGGCTCTGGGGCCGTCCACTTCTTTTCAAGAGTTAGACTTGGAGAATAGTGGCACTGATGAGGCACCACTGGGCAGTGGGCTTGTGGCAGCTCCTGTGGGCTGAGAGGGAGGCCGGATGAAGTCATGAAGAGCAGTGACCTGCCTGTCATGAGCTCACAGATGGCACAGAGAATGAGAGGGCATCAGGCTTCTCAAACCATCCCCTCTGGGGTCTGGAGTGCCAGCACCAGTCTGGCCGAGTTCCTTGTCACCCCTTTTGAGATGGTTCCTGCTGGTCAAGGAGTGGAATTAGGGGTCTACATGGGGCCACTCATGTTGTTATGTACCATCAAGTCAACTATGACTCATAGCGACCCTGTGAACACTGGCTCTGAACCCTGCTCTATCCGACCAGCCTCACCATCGCCGACACACCTGACCCCAGTGCCACAGTCACTGTGTCATTCCTTCTCATCCAGGGTCTTTTCTCTCCTGCATTGACCCTCTGCCTTTCCTAGAATGATGTTTTTCTCCAGGGATTGGTCCCTCGCCCAAAGTGTGTGAGATGGAACTTCAAAAATCCTTGCCTCCAAGGAGCAACCTGGGGCCACTAATAAGAGGGTCCCTTGTAGACCAGCATTCCCTACTAGAGAATAATGAACAGTCATGGAGATAGAACTGACTCTGGGTGGGACAGATGCTGACATGCTCAGAGTGTGGTGGGTAATTGATGTTTCGAGCTCACCCAGAGGTCCCTCAGAAGAAAGCCTTGGTGGTCTACTTCAGAAATATCGCTAGCTCATTGCTGTTGAGTTGGAACGAACTCATAGCTGACCCTTCAATGAGATTCGAGACTATAAATTGCACAGGAGGAGATGGCCCATCTTTCTCCCCCACAGACGCTGGCAGGTTCCTAACACCAAAGGCTCAGCAGCATAACTCTATCTACAGACTGTATCCCCTGAAGCGCCCTCATGCAATGCCGCCCATTGAGAACCCTGCAGAGCATTTCTGCTCCAGCACTCTTGGGATTCATGAGTCGGGGGTGACTCAGTCACAACTGGTAGAGATACACTTAAATGAAATGTAGATGGAAAAAAGGACTGAGGGGGCAAGTCTCAAGTGTGGTCAGGATGACTCTTGGACCAAGCCAAACGCTAGTGTCTGTGGAGATAGTAAAGGCAGACCTTGTTTTCTTGGCTGGCTGAGGAAGGGAGTGCTGGTAGCGTAGTCTGTAGGGTGTTGCACCCTAACCGGAAGAACCCACATCTCTGCCCTCTTTTTTTTTCTTCTTAAATATTTATTATTTTTACGTATACTCTCAAATTAGATCTGACTGGTACAGGAGGAGATTTGCCCCCTCCTTCTCCAGCAGAACCCACATCTCTGGTGATTTAAATCCACCAGGAGAATGATGAGCGATCTCCTCCCATCCAGTCTACAGCCTCTTAAAGCCCACTGGAGGGCCAGCTTTGAGTCGATTCCGTCTCGATAACAATGAGCTTGAGGTTGAGCTTTGAGAGAGAGTTCCTTTGGGGCTGCATCTGAGCTTCTTGGGCTAAGGAATCTTCCGGCTCACAGTTGGCCATATCTTCAGACTAAACACAGAACCACCCCAGTGCCAGGACGTCTAACTGACCTCGCTAACATCTCTATCCTTTACTTGGAATGTCGCTTTGCTCTCATTCCTATCACCACACACCACCACCACTGATGGTGCAGGACTTGGCTGACATAACATTTTATAGAAGCCTTTTTCCGAGCCCCAAAAGTAATATATGACAAATGGTGTCACCCCTGCATGACCAAGCATCATGAGGGCGGGACTCCATTTCTGGTGGCTCTGTGTGGCTTCGGAGACAGTCATGAACAAAAGGGATTACAGGTAGCCTCTGCAGCAAACAAACTAGCTGTTGTTGAGTCATTTTCAACTGATGGTGACTCCACGTGTGTCAAAGGGGAAATGCACTCCAAAGAGTAGGGCTGACTTTCCAGAATTAGGTTGCCAGGGCTTGCTTCTGCGGTGCGTTTGGGTAGCTTCAAATCTCCAACCTTTGTTAGCTTGAGCGTGTTAATCGTTTGTACCACTCAGAGACTCAAGAAAATGTCATTACTTTAGTTGTTTGAAGCCAGATACCTTTCCAGTTTACACACTTCTCGTGTAGAATATGGCAGGCCAGGAGGTAGAAACTGAAATTCTGGGTTAAAATTCTGATGGACTCCTGTGTGATGGAGGTTTGAAAGCCCTCATTTGCACTCTCCATTTCATTTTACACTCTCACTTCTGGTCCACATGGTCATGATCACTGACCCCTACACGTTGTGGGTGCAGAAATGGTTCAAGAACCATCTCAGAAATGCCTGGGGCTGTTTTTATACAGGAGTCACCTGCATTACTGGCTTGGCTCTGAGGTTCAGTATGTCTCACCCTGATTTCTTAGCAAGGCCACTAGATGGCGTGCAGGTACCGGTGGAGAAGCCCTTATGGGGCGATCTGCCTAGAAATACAGCTCACAGACCCTTGAAGATGGAGCAGCCCGAGGTGACCATGTGCTCTTATTCCTTTGACCAGGTTCTGAAGACAGCCCACCCAAGCATTCAGGCAACAATGAAAGCCATTCTTCCAGAAGAAGGAACCGACATTCCAAATCGAAAGTCACCAACGGTGTTGGAAAGAAATGAAAGACCCTGGTCAATCAAAGATGTTCCAGAGAGTGCCTAGAACTGAGAGGGAAACGGAACTCGTTTGGACCTCCCCGCCAGGTCTAAACACACAGAGCAAACAGGAAGAGGAGAGGGAACTTTGGGGTCATTCTTTGAGAGTGTAAGTCTTGTTTCCCACAGACCTGACCACAGCGGCCAGATCACAGCCTGGGGTCCTGTGCCAATTTGGGGTCTCCTCCAACTTCAGCACTTGGCATGCGGTCACCAGTAGCAGAACAGAGTGTGTGAAGGGAAAGGTAGCTAATGCCTCACCACTGCCAAGGACAGCTTGGCACTTGGGTACATGGTGGACACGCGGTGAACATCTTCGCTCAGACAACTGTACCACTCACGGGCTCACTACCAATTTTTCTTTTTATGAATCACCTTTTCCATTTGAATGATTTGGTTTTCATTTCAGTCCACGTTCTGCCTTTTGTTGTCTTTAGGACGCTCAAAGCCACCGTTGGATTTGATATTTGGGAAGGGGCCAACCTTCCCTTCTAGATTTGAAAGAAAGAATTTCAGGAGGGTTTGTGTTACTGTGTCACATCTCAGCTCAGCCCGTCTTTAAAACCTTAAACCACGCGGAGGGTGTCAAGCAGTCTGAGGAAAGGTCGGTTGCCTGCATAGGACCCGGGCTGGAGATCTGAACATCCTGTATACCATTCCGAACGTCACACGTCTCAGCCCGACCCTCAGTGCACAGAGTGAGCCTGTCCCCGAGGCAGCCAACGCCGCGGCTGCTCCCCAGCCAGGTGCCTTGTACATTTGTTTCCCTTCCACAGTGTGTTGCCGACATTGTCTTTCAGTCACATGTGAGGTGCTGTTGAGTATTACCTGCCATCCGTGCCATGCTCTAGAACTTGTACCCTGTAGTTCACCTCCGACGGATCTCTGTTTTAAAGAAAACAGTTCATGTTAAATAAAGCCCATCAAAGATCTGTCTCCGAAAGTGCTCACTCGTTTGTATCTTACTGGCATGCTCCATTGTTTGTAAGCAGTCGCTGTATTTTTCAAGTGGGTGAGGTTGATGTGAATCTGTGTAGTTCTATATGCTTCTGTTGTGTGCTGTTGTGTCCGTCTGGACTCGGGGTAACCCTGCAGGACAGGGTAGAACCTCTCAGTGGGTTTCCAGGGTTCTATGTAATCTTCATGGAAGCAGCCAACCTCCTCTTTCTCTGAGAGAGTGGCTGGTCACTTTGAACCCACCCTCTTTTCAGTCAGTAGCTGACAGTTGTAATCATTGTACCAGAGGGAAAAAGAAAACAGCTTGTATTTTACAGAACTTACAAACACAGATGTCCTATTTACCTTTCCAAGTAATAATGGAAATAAACAGCAAGATCATTGTTTTTTACTATGGTAATGGTTCCATTAACCACGTTGGATTTTTCCTTAACATGTGGCCAGTGCCCAGTGGGTTGCCTTTGAGATACAATCATGCTGAAAACAACCCATTTGTTCTCTCCTTTTGCAGAGCACAAAGGTCTCAGTGTCTTCTCCTGCTTTGAGGAAATCTTTATCCCCAGGAGTGTCATGTTTTCCTTTTTGGGCAAAAGCATGCAGGGATGAGGGGATTAAATGAATCATGCACCAACGGGGTCACAGTGTGTGCTCCCACCTTCTGGGTGACCACACGGTTCCAGGGCCATGCACAGACTTGTTCCAGAAGCAGAGACCCTGACCATCTGTCCACATGATGGCAGGACACAGGCTAGGAAGGGCCACTACTCTGTACATTTTGCCCTCTCCAAGCCATGGTATTCCCACAACTGACTTGCAGACAGCACATGGTTCAGAAATCCACTTGTAAAAAAAAAAGAAATCCACTTGTGCTATTATAACTCATCAAAGACTTTGTAAGCATATCATTTCCCATTGAGTCAACACTGATGCGAGTCAGACAGTCCAACTGCCCTCCATTGAGTTTGCAGTGGAGCCTCTTCGTGGACTTGAACCTCCAATCAACAGTCAAGTACAGTTAACCATTTGCACCACCAAAGCACCCCTTTTTATAAATGCATACAATTAGACCAGTTGAAACGCTGCTGTGGGTACACATGAGTAGATGGCTTGGGAGTGGATCGATTTGGTTTTTTCCACGGCCAGCTTTTCTCGGCACTGAGGGCTTCTACTCTGTCATCTGCCGCCTTCCCTGTGACCTCTTGCTGAGTGTTCCCAGTTCCTTTTCTGAGAGATTTGAACCTGGCGCTTCTCGGAGCCTCAGATTACCTGCCCAGGCAGCGTAACAGATAAGGCGCGCTTCTTCCAAGAGCCCCATCGAGGCAGACACTTGCTTAGCATGAGGTGGGAGGGGAGACATCACGGAATGTGCATGCACACATTATACTCAGGAGAACACATTTTCTCCACGGCTCTGCACGAACCAGCCAGGAAACTTCTCAGTGACTACATGCTCCTTCTGTGAATCAGAGCTTGCTCTTTATCTTTTTTGTGAAAGCTCTTGACTCCAATAGTTATAAAGACCAGTGCTGCCCGTGACTAGGCAAACCCACAGCTACGGGTGCCGTGAAATCCTACTGCTGACCGCAGCCCACTTTCCCCACCTGTTACTATGGAAATGGACTTTATATTAATAGAAGTAGAATAAATGCTTCTGAGTCATCATCACTTAATCTCAGATTATTTGATTGCCATTTATCTCATATTCCCCATTTGCGAACTGCCCTCTTAAAAGCTACCATTGTTTTTAGACATAATGCACAAAGAATGCTTTATGCTTGCTCCTGGATCAACGTTGCAGTGAGCAGGCTTTGTCCTTATGGCCATTCTTGGTCTTCCCATGGCCTCTCGCTGCCTTTCTTGCGTCTGCTTTCATCTTTAAAAGTCTTCGCCAAGCTATTCCCACAGCACCGCTAGGACATTTCACTGACCCGGTAAGCATTTTGATGATAAAAGTCCTCCAATAAATGCCAGTCTTATTTTCTCTAGGACTGCTTCTTTAGTCAGCCCATGACCAAGGTACTCTCCCAGAAGAAATAAAATGCCAAATGCGTCAGGTTCAGCCTTTTTGCTGCTCTTGTAGAAGCTGCAGAGTAGCGTCCGGACGTGATAGCTCTTCGTGTGGAGGCTCACCCTTTGGGATTGCTTTCTTTGTTTATAATAGTGCTCTTGGTCAGGTTCACATGGCGTCACTGAGAATGGGAGCAAGGTCAGTCACAAAGGGAGAGACTAAATACAAAGTAGAAAGAAAAAAAATATATAATCTCCATTGCAAAGGAGACTAGAGCAAACACTTTAAACATGGGAGAGCTTGACTTTGATGTTCCCCAGTGTTACCTGATGGCTGTCCCCTCAGAATTCCTGGGCTCTCCAGTGTTGATCAGCCTGGCATTGTTTTTTGGTTTTGTTGTGACAGCTAGGAACCCCACAAGCAGCCTGGTAGGTGTCCCTGAGTGTTCTACTCATGGTGACACTGAACAGATCTGAACGGTCCTCAGTCTCCATAACGCCCATTGTTAAAGCCATGGTGTCAGTCCTTGTTGAGACTCTGCTCTTTCTCTCACCCTCCCCCTTTTCCAATATGATGTCTTTTTCCAAGGACTGGGCCCTCTTGACCACATGCCTGAAGTATGAGATGAAGATTCACCACCTTTGCTTCTAAGAAGGACCATGATTGCATTTAATCCAAGATAGACTTGTTTGTTCTTTTAGCAGCCTATGGGATATTCAGTACTCTGTCAGTGCCACAGTTCAAAGGAATCAGTTCTTGACTCTCTTTTATTTAGTGTCCAACTTTTAGATGCCAGTGAAGCAATTGACAATACTGAGGTACACCTAAGTCTTTATAAATTGATATCCTTGTCCTTGGCAGCAGATTTACCCAGTGCAAATATAATTCTCATTTAGGTGCTCACGATGTAAACAGTTACAGCTTCTCTTCATCCGTGGTCACCATGTAATGTACGTCTTTGTTATTGTTGGTAAGTGCTGTCAAGTATGACCTTAGGAACTATAGATATGAACCCTGTCCTATGCTGTGCCATCCTCAGACTACCTGACACTCTTGAGCCCATGGCAGCAGTCACCATGTCAGTCCACCCGGGGGACGGTCTTCCTCTCCTTCGCCGATCCTCCACCCTTCCAAGCGCCATGTCCACCTCCAAGGAATAGCCTCTCCTGGCAAGATGCTTAAAGTGCGTGAGGCAGAGTCTCATCATTCTTGCCTCCAAAGAGCCCTCCCACGGCACTTCTTGTACATATGTGCATATTGCAAGGTTATGGTTGAGATTCAGTTGTTTGCAAGAATTTGCCTTACCTGTTGTGGCTAACTCATCACCATTAGATTAGATTTTTGCAGCATTCCTGCCCCCCCCCATCACCTTTTCTTTCAAATCTCCTACTACAGCTAGCACAGGTGAAGGCTGCAACTTTTTTTTTTATTATTATTTTGTTGTGTGTGTCCTGTCAAATCAGATCTGACTAGTACAGGAGGAGATTGTCCCTCCTCCTCCAGCAGAGTGTCTGGTAGATTAGAACCACTCAAGGTTGCAACATTTTTTAAGTGAACTTTGCTATTTTTCTTGACACAGTAAATAGGACCTTTCTCCTACTTAGCTATTTCTGTGAATTTAAAGGGGTTGTTGATATCTACCAGTGATGTGGGAAATAGTTGGATGTGAATTCTTGTTACTTTGTGCCAGTGCCAAATTATAAAAATCTTTGTCTCAGACATTTACCTAGAACTTCTTTTAACTCATTTCAGTGATTTATCTGTGACTTGTCCCTGGCCTTTCTTGCAGTCTATTGCTTTTGAAGCCACCTATCCTGTGAGATGTTTATTGCCACATTTTAACACCTTCAATACCGTGTTAACTCTGTTGGCATAAGAAGTACGCATTTGACTGTTAACCAAAAGGTTGATGGTTCAGATCCACCCTGCAGCTCGGTGTGGGGGCTGGGGGTGGAACTGGCAATCTGCTCCCATAAAGGTTTGTTGTTTGTGCCCTCGAGTCTGAACCAACCCATAGTTTACCCTCCAGTAGATTTCCTGAGGCTGTTAATCCCATGGGAGGAGATTGCCCATCCGTTTCTTGAAGAGTAACTGGTGGATTTGAACCATGTGCCTTTGGGATTATAGCTGAGAGTCTTACCACCACTAGACCAACAGCTGTTAAAACCCCATGGAGCAGCACTACTCTGTCACATGGGGTCACTGTGAGTCAAAATCAGTTTAACACTCCCAAGAAAATGCTTTCAAACATTTACAGGTCAAAACAAAATACCTCCTAGACCTTATACTAAGCGTGGTTTATTGTCAGATCTCCAACTAAAGTGATTTTATGTGAAATATTGCCTGGTCCCTAGTTTATACTAGGGAGTTCTAGTTCATAGTTTACAACCTAGATCATAAAGAGTTGTGGTGCTAACCCCAAAGCTTTCCAATCCTCTGGCGGTTCGAA